ATTGGAAAAAGTCGATTTTGTATGGATTAAATGAAGTTATCTCGATATTGAGAGGACTATCTGTGGGTGTTTGAGTTGTCTCATGTAGATCGGTAAAAATATCTTCATATACAATATTTATTGTCAAGCTTTGTGGAACTCCTGCTTCATTGTCAATCAATATATGCAATCCGTCGGGCGATCGAACTTGTGAAACAACTACATATAGTTGACCATAACTTAACACTGGCTTAGGCAAGTAAACCCCAACTGTATCTAGAGTTTGGCCTTTACTCTCGTTGATTGTCATTGCATAGCAGACCCTTACTGGAAACTGTCTCCTCTTTAAGACAAATGGAATTGATGTTCGGTAACATTAAGCACAATCCTTGCTACGGCAACTGTTTTCTTGTCAAACTTTCCTTCAATGATAGCACCTCAAATATATTTTCTCCCAAATGCGTGATCATGATCCTTGTCCCATTACATAGTCCAATAGCGGGGTTCAGAGTTCGAAGAAGGATAGTCAGAGTTGAGATCTTCAAATGTATCTCATGTTGATTCAGGAACAATTGTACACATTTTAACCCACATTTCTTGATAGTTTGGCTTTGCATTTCATCGTCCCTCGACATATTTCACGCTAGGTTGTGCTTGTTTTGATACATTTCAGGTCCTAGCACGTGTGCAAGGGTCGAGGACGAGTTTTGGGATGATTGGAGGTCGAAAAACGCAAAAATCGAAGAAAATTCCAAAGACCGTGACAATTGCCTCCTGACCGTGAAGCGCAGGCGCCCAGGAATCAGTCGTAGTTCACTGTCAGAGTTGCGAGTTCACGGGCGTCCAGGAATCAGCCGCAGTTCCCGACCAAAAGATAAGGGTAAGGCCAAAGTGTCGGGCCAAGAAGGCCACCCTATGGAGCTTAAGTTGGGAGATGACAAACCTCACCCCAAGACCTTGGCGGATCCACTCTCGGTGGCTTCTTGCTCGCAAGCATGATAAATCTGCAACGTCGAGCTAGTGACATTAAACTAGCGCTTGTTGGGAGGTAACCCAACGATGGTTTGTTTTCTTTTCCTTATTTTCTCTTTTTGTTTTTGTGTGAAGAGTTTAAGTGTTAGAATGGGTATCACTGTGTTGGGTCTATGTGTTTGCGTATTATGGGATGTGTTGTGATTGAATTAGGAGCACGGTTGAGTAGATTGAGTCAAAAAAATTTGGAAATGCCATGTTTACACTGAGTTCACGGTCTTAGTGACCGTGAAGAAAGGATGGAGACCATGAACAAGGGTGGCTCTAGCAGTCTTTGAAACTCCCGTTTCACCCGAGTTCACGGTATGGGAATTATGTTTATGGTCTTAGCATTCGTAAACTGACGCTTTCGTCTGTGAACTACGAGTTCGTCAAATATTGGATAGAATGGGACACATGTATTTTTTTTTATTTGGGCGTTGTAGTGGTATTAGCTCTATATTTAATCAGAATGATATAGTTTGTTATAATAGTATAATACATCTCACAATAACTTGGGCTATCATAACCAATTGGTTCATGACACTTTCTTATAAAATTGGATTATTTTTCGGCACTTTGTGTTGTAATAAAAATATATGAAAACAAATGCCTAAGTTCATTTTTCATATTTCATGGATTTGATTTGAGGCATTCCACGACTAAAACAATCTGTTGGACGATTGTTCAGTATTATTAGACATTATTTCTAGAGGAGCAAGGTATGGATTCGATTATGGAACCTTTAAATATCAAAACTAATAATATTACTATTCAGTCAATCTCTTGTTCGGTTCTTACTTGTGCCATGTACATAGATATATCTGCCCGTGAACTCCTCTGATATCTTCCCTTTATCCTATAGATGATGGTCGAAAGATGCATCTTGTAGTCTTTGAATATTCTCCCATGCATCTATCTTCAACCTTCAACCATAAGCACTCCCAAAACACGTGCAAGAGGAATGAGCCTTGTAAAATTTGCCATGGTTTTCACTCGCTCTAAGGCTCATTATTCTTTGTTTGTTCGGCGGGCTGACTCTGCTTTCGTGGCAACATTGATCTAGTGGATGATGTTATTTTGGCTGGGAACGACATGGAGTTCATTCAGCAGGTAAAGGACACCCTGGATAGTCGTTTTGGGATCAAGAATTTGGGGGCCTTTGAAGTATTTTTTGGGCATTGAAGTGACTCGGTCTTCGAAGGCGATTGTTCTTAGCCAACATAAGTACACGTTGGACTTATTCCAGGACGCAGGACTTAACGGGGGGCATCCTAGCTCTTTTCCCATGGAGCAAAATCACTAACTTAACCAAGTGATCCGACGGATTAGTCTACTTCTACAGTCGATGGTTCTGCTTATCGGCGCTTGCTTGGTCGCCTACAGTATCTCACCGTTACACGACCTGACATCGTATATGCCGTCAACATTCTGAGCCATTTCGTTCCTGCTCCTACACTCGAGCATGTTGTAGCCGTTGATCGTGTGCTTCATTACTTAAAGAGTGCGTTGGGCCAAGGGATACTCCTCCTTCTGGTGATCTCCGGTTGACCGCCTACTGTGATGCGGATTGGGCAGGTTGCCAGACCACTCATCGTTCTACTTCTTGTTATTTCATCACCTTGGGGTCTGCCCCGGTGTCTTGGCGTACCAAGAAACAGACTGTCGCTGCTCGGTCTTCTGCCGAGGCTGAATACAGGGTCATGGCTCATACGGTTAGCGAGATCATTTGGCTGCGTGCTTTGCTTCATGATCTTGGAGTTCCTTTAATTGCACCCACTGTTCTGCATTGTGATAATCAGGCAGCCCTGCATATAGCTGCTAATATGGTTTTCCATGAGAGGACCAAGCACGCTGAGCTCGACTGTTATTTCGTCCGCGAACATGTTACTTCCCGTGTCATTCGTCTTCAGAAGATTGCTTCTCAATATCATGTGGCAGACATTTCACTCAAGGACTTGGTGGTGATCAGTTTCACTTTTTACTTTCCAAGCTGGCCATTTGTAACCTGCATGCTCAGCTTGCCGGGGGTATGGTAAAGGGATATTATGTATTTAGCGTAGGGACTATATGGTCTTTTCTTGGGTCTTTTAGTTCCTGCGCGTGTAACCCTAGGTGATTAGGGAGATAGGGTTGCAAATATATTCTTCCTCTCCCCTCCTTGTACGTAAGCTATGGTAGACAGCAGACTAGTGAAGTGATTTGAGAAGTTCTTCTCCGTGGACTAGTCTCGTTCAATTGAACGAGGAAATCACATTTATTGTGTGTCATTTTACGCTTTCGCTTTCTCAAATATTTCATTACAAGCTACAAGAAGACCCTCAAGGATGCAAATTGCAAGCATTAGTGGTGATATGGAGAAGTAGTACACTGCCTGCAACTCAAACAGAAAGTTATGATGTCATTTCATTTCCTCACCATTACATTGAAATATGTTAGGTTAAATATAATACATTGGCCTTTCCCAACAACTCAAATTATTGGGACCAACTGGTTTAGGGCACGGTATCAGAACTGTTTTGTTTATGAGTTTTGTGTTCAAGTCCTCATGGCACCCAATATTGTTTAAGCACATGGTAAGGGGAGGCCGGTGCAAACTTCAAACCCATGATTCGACTTTAGTTTTAGTGGCATACGTGTAAGGCGTAGAGGTGGCAATTAATCTATATCCATGAATCCAATCCAACCACCCACCAAATTATCCAGCTAATCCAATCCATTGATCCAAATGGCAAATTACGATGAAGTACCTATACTTTTTAAATTTTATATTTTGGTACCTAAACTTTATTTTTATATGAAAAATGTTATTGAAAAATTATGTTTTTGTACCTACAATTTTTTCATTATGATATTTTAGTACCTAAATTTTTCAAAATTTATATAATGGTCCAAAACTTGGATATCATTTGATTTCATGGATCAATCCATTCCAATCCACAAATATATAAATCCAATCCATTTGCAATCCAGTAAGTAGACAACCATGCAAAGCGTAAATAATTTGCTTAAGCTGTTCCCGTTATTGGTGGATGCAACTACTACCACCACCACCACCAGATATGTATCATGGAGGCTGCAGAGTGGCAGTCAGTCAGTCAGTCAGCTCGGCAGTATGGCACATGGCTTCCGCCCTTGATGGATGATCTAATCTGATCATGAAAAAGAAGTGAAATTCCGTTTCGCCTGCCCATACATATCCCCTTTGTCTCGTACGTACCGATCAATGTGGATAGACATGCAATTAATTACATAAGGTGCAACCTTATATGCATAACCCATACAATACATAATATCATTCGCTTTCTTTCTGTTTTGCGTACTAAACCTGGCCGGCACCCATTTCTGGAAGAAGAAAAACATTGCACGTCACTGTACAATTTGTTGTTCCTATCTATCTATCTAATCTCTCGAGTCTTATTATTGTCGCTTAGAGGAAGAATAGATAGAGTGCAAGGCACGAAACTTTAGATAGTCCGCCCAGTCCGCCTTTCATTAGGATAACAACCGCTACTACAATGATATGGTCTGCCCATGTTGGCCTAGTGCATGCCCCCACGTATAATCCACTTTTTTAAGATGGTTGTATTGCACTATTGCTTATTGGCTGTTGGCAGTCTGTCTGAAAACGAAATAACATTTCAAGGAGCACAATAAAAAGCATGATTTTATGTATAAGTATTTTTGTGATCTAAAAATAAGAAAGCGTAAATTTTTAAACTTTAAAATGTAATTCTGATTATATTATTATTATTATTATTATTCAAAATGCAATCTAAATCACAATTTTTAAACTTTAAAACTTGAAATTATGAATTTTAAAGTGTAATTTTAATTGCATTCGAATAAACAAAGCACAATGATGAGAAAGAGAAATCATTCCAATTCCAACTTGAGATATTCATGTCGAATACTCAGTCAGAAGAATATGTTTGTGAATCCAATCGGCAGCCAGCAGCAAAGCAAAGCAAAGCAAATTAGCATGCCCAAAATGGACAAATTACGTACATTACACATTTTGCTAATTAGGTAGGTTTGCCAACTTAAATAGAGGACCGACCACCAAAAACCCACCTCCACCGTCTCCAAACATTCACGCTTCAATCCAATTTTGTCCACATTTCTTCTTTGCAGCTTTCTTTTTCAGTTTTTTTTTTTTTTTCCATCTTTTTCAGTTTTGCTCATACTCTATTCTCCCTCCAGCTCTACCGGCAGCCATGGCCCATGAAAAGCGTGGAGCCCACCACTGAAAATGTTCGTTTCCGTACTGGGCCCAGGACAAATCAGGCCGTACCTTTACACGTCTCACTTTTATAAAAATAATAATATTCTGCCTCCATTTTTTTATTTATAAAAGCTAACCAACCCGTCTATCTTCTCTCCGTAGAAAGAAAGCAAAGTACCACCCACCAGCCACTTCCTCACTCCCCTGTTTCTGCTTCTTCGTTCCCTCTCTTTCTGCCTCCGACACATGAGAGAAGGAGCTGGACAATCGTGCGTGAGAAGAATCAGCTGCCTGTGCCAAGTCTGTTCCCGCCCCAGATTACGATTACGATGGACGCCCCAGATTTGTCGCCCCCGCCCCACGTGGACGCATCCAGGCCCTCCCTCGGATTCCCGCTGGGGACTGCTCTGCTTCTCGTCGTCATCTTCAGCCTGAGTGGCATCTTCTCCTGCGGCTACCACTGGGACAAGCTCCGCTCCCTCCGCCGCGGATTTTCGCGTGACCCCGCCGCCGGCGAGGATCTGGACATTGAAGCTCCGCCCTTCAAACCCATGCCTCCCCACTTTGTAATTAGTCGCCTTCTTTCCCCTGTTTTTCTTTTTCTTTTTTCCCTTCTCGCCTTCTTGGAATCTGAACTCTTCTTTTTGCTTTTGGTTTGGGGCAGGATGTGAAGCCGAGTAAAGAAGAGAGCCTGCCGGTGGTGATGCCGGGGGATCGAATTGCAAAGTTCATGGCATTGCCGTGTCCGTGCCAGCCGGCCAGAGCAGAGAGAGTGGTGCTCAAAGTGGAGAAGAAGCCTCCCTCTAAGCCGCCGCGGATTGCGGTGCCTTTCTATTAGGATTCTTTCTTTCTATATAATAATAATGCTCATTAATTTAGTTGATGATCATTTCAAGGAATCGAATGGGGTCTGGGATAATCGTAATTGGTTTTTTGGGTGGATTACACAGAGTTGGATGATCTTTCACCTTATTAGCAGTTTTGTTGTGTGTGGAAAAAAGAAAAAGAACAAGAAGAATTCCGACTGTTCCACTTCATCCCTCTTGATTGTTGGTATTCCGGCCAGTAACTCTAGTAATAATGGGGGAAGCTTTCTTTCAATTATTCGATGGGGGTTACAGCTGCCAAACCAATATTCGCGCCATAGGTGATCTTGCAACAGCATTAAATAAGGCATGACGGGGGATTTTGGTCTCAGAAGTTTGGAGAAAGGAGAAAGATAGCATCAATCAGAAAGTCGAAGTAAAGTACTGGATCGCTCCACTAAGGGCGGTTCGATGCGGTGCGGCTTGGCATTATGCAGAGATTGTAACATAGGCATAAACAAATATAGCAGCGAGACATCCGCCATTCTGAACTTGCCTCCAGTTAGCACCGGCTATTTGGTCTGGACTGTTTGGTTTTACTCGGAACGGGATCGTATAATCCGGACCGGGATTGGACTAGGATCGGATAACAAACAATCCAATATCATATTTGGGCTTAGATTTGAGGTAAAAAACCAGAATAAAGATCGGATAAGGGACCCCCAACACCTAAAATCAAGATCAAATTAGGAACGGACCGGGTTAAGACCGGACCGGATCAAGACCGGATTGTATCCTATCCAATCTTTGGTCCTTATATTCCCGAAAAAACCGGACTCGGACCGGATCAATTTGGTCCAATTTAACCAGACCAGACCGTATAGCCACCCCTGCCTCCAGTATGGGAACGGATCAGGTCAGTAACCTTATGGTGAGTAATCATGGTTAACCTGCCTACATCACCATGACATTAGTATCCCTCTCTCCTGGAAAGCCTTTAATTTTCTCCTCCTTAATCTCTGACGGACGATTTCTCACACGTTTTAAGTCAAAATTTAATTTTTTGCACAGTTAGATCAGATTAATTGTGCTCTTCAAAATGATATCCACTTTGATATATTTTTCGAACAAAAAAAATTGAGTCATTTTTTACCAGTCTATACCATATGGTATTGACTGGTATTGAAATAAGAGCATACCTATGGTTTGAAAAATGTACCATGGTGGTATGAACAAACCAAGAATGTAGAATGGTTGAATACATGATAGTAAAAATATATTAACTGTTATTTACGACTTTTAACATTGTGTACCATAAGATACCACCCCGTACCAGGGCGGTATTGTATGGTATTGTGTGATATTTTTTGGTCCTGTAATTTGTTCACCCAGAAATTTGTAGATCCAATAGATCATGATGAACTCGTCCCTTTTGTGCAAACGGTTTCATAAACGAATTAAAAACGAAGAAGATACCATATGGTATGCAGTTGGTACCGAGAGGCCATAATTTTTTCTTCTAAAAAAATATTGAAAATTGATCTCATTTTGTAAAGCACGATGAACTCTTTCCATCTGTGCAAAAAAAAAAAATTAAAATCCCAGTTAAAACGAAAAAATATGAGTCGATTAAGAAAGTTAGGGAAAATAAAAATGACATTTAATTCGCCATCTTTAGATATGGATTTTCTATATGAAGGGTCCAGATTTGCATGATGCTAGGGTAAGATCATGGATCTTAAATTATGTTGAACCCAATATTTGTCTTGGCTTACGTATGCACCAGACTGCTAATGGGATGTGGAGGAAGCTGGCGGCCACATACTCCACCACCAGCGCAGCCAGTGGCGGAGCCACTTGGAGAGGAGGGGGTGCTTTGCACCCCCCTTGGCTTTGGAAATTTTTTTTTCGAGTAGGGGTATATACAAATTCCAACCAATGACCATTCAGTTGCAGAAAGAATTTCTTATCATTTCGATCGAGTGAGTTTTGTTATGTAATGCACTTTCGTCTTTATTTATAGTAATAAATTGTTGTCTTTTGTTTAAACTCGCTCATTTTTTTTTTGTAGCTCTACAACAGAGAAATTTATTGTCTTTTGTTTAAACAAAGTTGAAAGTGAAGAAGTACCAATTGAAGTTCACTTGTTTCTTTCACAAAATCAATTCCAAGATACTTCTGAGTTCTAATTTGTAATATTTGATGAATGGAAGTCTTGATTTGTATGTACTGAACTTATTTGTTTGACGTTGTAACCGGTGTACGTGAAACTATTTTGATGTAATTGTGTGAATTTAGAGTATTGCGTTGTTGACTTTTTGTTTAATTTAAAGTTGACTTTTCTATTGTATAGGTGATTTTTTATGATATGATAAAGACGGGTCCGGATCCTATCAGTAACCAACCTATCAGTAACGGTCAGTAACCGTCCATCTGACCGTCCATCGCGCCATCTTCCCAGCCGTCAGATCATGCCAATTAAATACACGCGGGGGCAAAAAGGTAATCACGTCTCTGACAATTTGAATTGCAGACGTGACAGCGACAACCGTCCCGCCTTCTCTCCTTCTTTCTCTCACCTTTCAAGCGACAGTTCCACTTCCCTCTGCTCTCTAACTCTCCATTCTTCCTCCCGATAATCAATTCTATCACCAAAATCGCAGCAAAAACTTCCAGAAAAAAACTTCAAATCGAACGATTTTTGCAAAGCTTTTCGAAGAATCATTCAACGATACACTGTTCTCGCTTCTTCGTCGAAAAAAGAAGGGTTTCCAACTTCAACGAGGCTCAAAAATCGTTTTCGCACAAAATATCAAGGTAAAACCTCACTTCTTTCTTCGAAATCCATCCATAGAACAATAGAAACAGTATTTCAGTCACTCTTCATGTGAAAATTGTAGTAAAACTCGCTACATTACCGAATCGTTAGCATGCATTGCTGAACTGGTGTAGAATCTGTTGTGTTTTGCTTCGTTACCACATGGTATGGCGTGGTAAACTATGATTGCACGTTATAAAAAAGCAAAAAACTATGTTTTGCTTTGTTACCATATGGTAATGTGTGGTAAGCTATGGTTTCATGTTGTAAAAAAGCAAAAAAACCATAAGTGCTGCTGTGTTTTAGTTTGTTACCATATGGTAATGTGTGGTAAGCTATGGTTTCATGTTGTAAAATAGCAAAAAAACAATAAGTCCTGCTGTGCTTTAGTTTGTTACCATATGGTAATGTGTGGTAACCTATGGTTTCATGTTGTAAAATAGCAAAAAACCATAAGTTCTTCTGTGTTTTAGTTTGTTACCATATGGTAATGTGTGGTAAGCTATGGTTTCATGTTGTAAAATAGCAAAACACCATAAGTTCTTCTGTGTTTTAGTTTGTTACCATATGGTAATGTGTGGTAAGATATGGTTTCATGTTGTAAAAAAGCTAAAAAACAATAAGTGCTGCTGTGTTTTAGTTTGTTACCATATGGTAATGTGTGGTAACCTATGGTTTCATGTTGTAAAACAGCAAAAAACCATAAGTCCTGCTGTGTTTTAGTTTGTTACCATATGGTAATGTGTGGTAACCTATGGTTTCATGTTGTAAAAAAGCAAAAAACCATAAGTCCTGCTGTGTTTTACTTTGTTACCATATGGTAATGTGTGGTAAGATATGGTTTCATGTTGTAAAAAAGCTAAAAAACAATAAGTGCTGCTGTGTTTTAGTTTGTTACCATATGGTAATGTGTGGTAAGCTATGGTTTCATGTTGTAAAATAGCAAAAAAACAATAAGTCCTGCTGTGTTTTAGTTTGTTACCATATGGTAATGTGTGGTAAGCTATGGTTTCATGCTATAAAAATGGAGGAAAACATACGTCCTGTTGTGTTTTACTTCGTTACCATATGGTAATATGTTATAAGACATGGTTTGATGTAATTACCATATGGTAAAAATGAGATAAATATATGGTTTGATATCGTATGGTAGGAAACCATTATCGTACCATATGGTATATTATGGTAAAAAGCATACTAACAGACTATTACTAATTTCTACATTCAGGTACACTATGGTAAAACCAAGACACAGTTTTCGCACAAGGTGCAGCCCAACAAGAATATCTGCAATTGCAAGGTCAATAACAGATGAACGGAAAGAGCAACTTGACATATTAGGCCTAGCAGGCTTAATGTCAATCAAGCAGACAAAGATAAACAACCATTTTGCACTGTTCGTAATGAACAAATACGATCCAGAGAAAGAATCGTTCAAGTTACCTGACGGGACACACATGAAGATATCACCAATCGACTTTCATAGGGTATATGGTCTGCCGATGGGGGATAGGGAAGTTGTACCTCCCACGATTTCTTGGGATGACGCAGCAGATTATGCAGTAGAAACCCTACTCGAAGTAGATGGAACATCCACTCCAAGGGTAAAGCTAAGTCAGGTAGAAAAAGATCTTCCTACAACCAAACTGACTAAGAGATGGATGCAATTGTTCTTTCTGCTGGTCACCGGAGGCTTGCTGTGTCCAACTTCAGCACCTATGGCTGAACTCAACATGCTTGAGTACTTGAAGACCGAAGAACTGAAACATTTCACCAGCTACAACTGGTGCAAATACTTCTTCAAACACATGAATGAAGGATTGAAATCACCAAAGCTCTATGTCAGTGCAGATCTTCACTTCCTTACAGTAAGTCTCCATTCCCTTGGCCATTTCAACCTTGTTACTCATATATTTTACATATAAATGATAATCTTTGAAAAAACTAATACAACTATCTGCATAAAAAAGGTATGCTTCATGTACAAACTGGACGAAATGGCATTCTCAACCCAGCTTCGAACACCAACAGTAAGCTACTATGATGATCTCAATGTCGAAACCAACTTTGAGAACATTAAGAGCTACTACAATGGAAAAGAGTTGAACGAGATCGAAAAGCTTGCCAACATTAATGACGATGAGGCTGATGGTGCAGCTGATGAGGAAGAGGAGAATGAGCCAGTCTATGAATCACCGAAAAGACAAAGAAACAAAAGTCCAGACCAGTCATCATCACTGAACTTTGATTTGAAGAATATCAGAACAGTCAACCAAGTAAGTACAAATTATCCATATTACAGTTGTCCAAGTTTGTTACCATATGGTAAGGTGTGGTAAGCTATGGTTTCATGTTATAAAAATGGAGCAAAACATAAGCCCCCGTTGTGGTTTACTTCGTTACCATATGGTAATGTGTGGTAAGCAAATGGTTTCATGTTATAAAAATGGAGGAAACCATAATTCTTGTTCTGTTTTACTTTGTTACCATATGGTAATGTGTGGTAAGCTATGCTTTCATGTTTTAAAAATAGCAAAAAAACAACAAGTCCTGCTGTGTTTTAGTTTGTTACCATATGGTAAGGTGTGGTATGCTATGGTTTCATGTTATAAAAATGGAGGAAAACATAAGTCCTGTTGTGTTTTAATACGTTACCATATGGTAATGTGTAGTAAGCAATCGTTTCATGTTATAAAAATGGAGGAAACCATAATTCTTGTTCTGTTTTACTTTGTTACAATATGGTAAGGTGTGGCAAGATATAGTTTCATGTTATAAAAAATGCAGAATAGTGATAATAATTGCCAATACCATGTATTACCACCATGGTATCTTACAAAAACTCCCATTATGCAGGCTGAGAATGCAATCAAACTGCTTGCAGCATCAATGAAGGCAATGATGAAAGCAATCAAAGACCAGTACAAAAGCCAAATTGACAATCTGATCAGACACAAGGAGAATCTTGCGAAAGAAAGCTGTGATGAAAATGTTCAGCCAACAGAAGGAGAAAAATTTCAGTGTGAAGATGATGAAGAAGAGAATGATGAAGAAATGAATGCCAGTTTGAATAAAACACTCAATGAAATATTCAAACAGGCAAATATAGACCAGAACAAAGAGGAGAAGGAGGAGCAAACACAGAAAGAAGATGATTCACAACCATCTACAGTCGATCTTGCTGCATCTACACCGAAGCCAAAAGAAAAGGAGCAAGATGTTTCTGATCCAGGAGCTGTGAATAGGGAAAGCATCCCAAAAGAAGGAGGTCCACTGGGGGAAGTTGCAACAGAACCACCAGAACAATCTGTTCAAGAAGGTCTGAATCAGGGAACACCACAACAAGAGGACACCCCGAAAGCAGTTCCAGAACAGACATCTGCAAAAGAAACAGGAGAAAAAGGAGCTACCAAAACAGCAGATCCAATGGAAGTTGATAAGGAAACAACAGAAGAAGGGAATACAGGGCAAGCTGCGCAAAAGACTCCAGAAACTGACAGCGAGAAAACGGTGTCAGATGATGTTGTTCGAGAAGAGGCTCCAAAACTGACAACCAAAGATGCTGAGAAGCCTAAAGTGACAAGGGAAGACGACATTCCATCCTTTGATCTCAGCCCTCTCAACCGTCAAACACCAACAACACCAACGAAGTTGACTACCAACACGGCAACCGATCAACCAGGAGAGCCTCGCAAAAGAAGAATCGTGGTGAAGAATTTGAAT